AAAGCAATCAAATGCAGTAGATATTCATAATCCAGCTTAAATGATCATGCTTTAAAATAATAATAACAGTCCTGATGTTCCACAGCCTGGATCATTCAGGGTCCCTCCTAGAGAGGGTGACCAGCACCACATGCTTTAGTGATTGGCCAAATGTTATCATCAAAAAGAAAAAGAAAAGAAACCTAACAATATTAAATGCTAATATGGTTATGTTGAACCATCTTCCTTCTGGGACTAATCAAAAGCTAACTGGACCCATGCAGCCAGACTTGAATCTTACCTAGACAGCAGCCGACCCACATACATAAAACAAAACAAAGCAGCTGGTGTGAAAGCAGGGTGTAAAAGCAATAGCCTGAGCGTGTTTTGCAAGGTGGTGAGTGAAAAAGGAGTCATGAAGTTGTGAGCACAGACAGGATGGGGCGGGGTGGGGGAGCATTCCTCCAGTCACTGAGTCAGAGAGGAGGAAATGGAACCTCCTCAGGGGCTGCTAAAATAAAGGAAGGAGATAAGCATCTCATTTTACTGCTTACTTGTGTAGAACTTGAAGGGAGAAAAGAATAACTAGAACTAGCCCCTGAACCATGACCCTGCATAATGGGCCAACTGCTCTAGTCTGTTACCAAGCCACTTCACATGCTGCTTCAGAGCCTTGCAAAACAATTTAACCTCCAGCACCCTGTACTGGGTCCCAGCGGAAGGGACTAACGTCAGATTGAAGCTGTGTGTGCCAGAGCAGGCAGTAGAATGAATCTAAAAACATCTTAACTTGCTTCCAGGGTGCCTTGTTTGGCTTTGCCTGTTTCCTTAGTTTAAAACTCATCATTTCACTTTCACTTCCCCCAATCCAAACAACAGTGGATCCTTTGCAAGTTGTCATAATCTTTTTCATCTCCATGTACATAGCTCGTAAATCCCTTCCCCAGCATTCCATTGCCCTCTGAAGATGTGAAGAACTTCAGAAGAATATCAAAATACTAGTAGCAAATTCTTAAACTGTGTAGTTGAATAAAACTTTTGGTTGACAGCAACTGGTTTTACTTCCCCCTTCAATCTTTCCAAATGTTACCCTGGAGTACCCCATAAAACTTACCCTAGTCACAAACAACATTGATATCCACCTGAAAAAGATCATCACAATCATTTCCCACATTTCCCACAGCATAACTTAGCTGGAATTCCTTCTTTCTTTCCAAAGAATAAGGGGACCCAGGGAGCTACATTTACCCTACTGGGGCTATGCCCAGGACAGAGACAGGAGGCTTTCTTATTTTTAAGGGTGAGATGGCAGTGATTAGAACATCCAAATGATTTTTGTTGTGTGCATGAGGATCAGCTTCTACACTTTGGGCTTGCTTAAACAGGGGCCACAAAGTTTGTATCAGGAGAAGTGATTGCATATTTGAAGAAGGTAATAAAAAATTTCTAAGAGAAATGATGCAATAACCTAAACAGTCTTTGTTCTCTTTTGAAAAAGGAGGACCTGGGATCCCCGATGAAGTCAGAACCCCCTTCCTCCCTGGGCATCTGGTTCACCCACAGAAGAGAGGCACAGGAGGCGTGTACAGGTGCCAGTGCAGAGCACCTGTAACTTCTCAGGCAGGTGATAACACCAGATCTCCTGGAACTGGGTATGTTTCCCTCATCTGATCTCAAGAGTTGGTGAGATGACACTGATTTACAGCTGCATTTCTTTTCCTTTTCTTTTTTCAACCCTCCTAATCTCTGATCTCTTCAAAGGATATTCAAAGAAAAGAGAGGTTGACACATCTGCCCAGTTGGGAAGTGGTTTTGAACAAGTGCTGATGTTCTGACACACACTTTGTCTTAAAATTGGTTCCTTGTGCTTCCACGGAACAGGGTAGTCTGTGGAGGTGTTTTCCAGTGGCTCCCAGAACATTGAGGCCTTCTCTGTCAGAATAAGTGACCCTATTCTTGGTTTGAATGTGTCCCCTAAATGTTTATGTGTTGAAAACTTAATCCTCAAATCATATGTTAATGGTATTTGAAGATGGAGCCTTTGGGAGGTAATTAAGATAGATGAGTTTGTGAGGGTAGGCTTCCATGATACCACTAATGGTTTTGTAAGAAGACAGAGGCCTGAGCTGGCCTGCTTCCTCTGTCTCACCACGTGATGCCTCTTGCCATGTTGTGATGCCACAAAATGTCCCTCATTGGATGCTGACACCGTGTTCTTGGACTTCATAGCCTCCAGGCCTGCGAGCCAAATAAACTCCTATTCTTCATGAATTGCCTAGTTGCAGATATTCCGATGTTCTTATAGCAGCAGAAAACAAACTAAGATATCTGCGTGTATATGTTTTGAACTACTGGTGTTAGATTAGGATTAATGGTGGGATAAGTCTCAGCAGACAGCCCTTCCTCAATTCTTTTTTAGAACAGCAAGAAGGAGGGAGGGGAACATCTCTTGGACTAGAGATGAAGAAACAAAAAGAGGGCTGTTTAATGAAAAAACTATTGTGCTGTTTCAAAAAATTCTGTTTATGAGATTGTAGATGAGGGGGCTCTGTTTGATCAACTCATATACGCTATTAGAATGAGAGCTTTGCTCTCAGCAATTATTGTAGTGGAATCTATTCCTTGATAAAACATCATGTAATTCTTTCACATCTCTCCCTTAAATATATAGTTTTTATTGTTGTTGTTGTTGTTGTTAGATTAAACTCAGAGCTTTGCACATGCTAGGGAAGCACTGTACCACTGAGCTACACCATTAGCCCCTATCATACATTTTCTTTAAAAAGAAAATATATGAATTGTCTTCTAAAATCAATTCACAAAATGAATGGACCTGTCCAATGCCTGCAAAGTTGCTTTGGAGGACACTTAATAGCTTTAGATTCTTTTTCAGAAAGGAAAAATAAAAAGTCAGGCCAACTTGACCAAATCCATGAAGGAATGAAATAAGAATCCAAGTGTCCCAGGATTTGTAAAGCAATAAACCCATTCTTGGTGGGATAAGAGATTACAAGGTGGGAGCATGAGAGCCAAGGCAGGCTGACCAAGAGGTGTCTCCCTCCCTGGACTTGTGCCCCTGTCTCTTACTTTTTACTCACTGGAGACATCAACCTGGCAAGGCAGGTAAGCATAGCTATGCTGTGCCTGGCATGGCTGGAGTGGGGAAGCCTCACCCCAGCTGCCCCATCCCTTAGAGAATTTGAATGGTACCTTTCAGTAGGTAGAACCAAAAACCCAAAGCACTGGTGGGGAAAGGCTTTATCTTATCCTGGCTAATCTGAGAACTTGATACAGAGCCTTGAAGAGCCAACTGAGCACATCTCTAACATTTAAATTACAAATTTCTTTACTACTCTGGGAACTCTTCCACAAACCACATCCAGCTCCCAGTGATGGTCTGTGATCCACAGGCCCAGTGCCCAGCAGCCAAGTCAAATCCCATGAGCTGTGACTGCTGTCCAGCTCTGTGTTAGCTGCTCCCCTGATCCCAGTTATCGTTTACTCTCAACCTTTTATTTTCCACCCAAGTGACTGTAGTAGTCAGTTTTCCATTACTATAACAAATATGTGAGATAATCAACTCATCAAGACAAAAAGTTTATTTTAGCTCATAGTTTTAGAGGTTTCAGTCCACATTTAGTAAGCCCCATTGCTTTGGGGCTGTGTCAAGGCAGCAAATCATGACAGAAGTGTGTGGTGAAGCAAAGCCATTGACCTCATGCCCAGAAGGCAAAAAGAGAGAGGAAGAGATTAGGGTCACACAATTTATTTCAAGGTCATGCACCCAATGACCTAAAGACCTTCCTCTAGGCCCTACTTCTTTTTTTTTTTTTTGGTATTGGGGATAGAACTTGGGACCTTGTGCTTGTGAGGCAGGCGGTGGCACCACTGAGCAAAATCCCTGGTCCTGGGCCCTACCTCATAAAGTTTCTGCCACCTCCCAGTTGTGCCAAGTTAGAGACCAGGCCTTTAATGCATGGACTTTTGGAGGATACTTATCCAAACCATAACAGTGACATCCCATTCCTTGAGCTATCAACAATTGATGTTTCATGATTCTGTTTCTCGGGCTATCTGAACACTATTGTCTACAAGAGCCTCCTTCTTTATTTCCAGTGCTCTTCAAGTGACAATTTCTTCACTTTTTAAAGCTTTTCTGTGCATCTACCCCTTGTTCCTTCTCCATCCTTGCCCTCTGTATTAGTCAGATTTCTTGTTGCTGAGACACAGTATCTAACACTCACATTTAAAGGAAGAGAGATTTGATTTGGCTCACAGTTTGGGCAATTCAATCCATAACTGACTGATCTCAAGACAGGAACACCAGGGTGGGAGGTCATGGCACAGCAAAGCTGCTTAGTTCATGGTGGCTGGGAAGCAGAATATGGGGATACTTCCAGAGAAGAAGGTTCTAGGGATCATAATAGATCCCAGTGCCATACCTATCCATGACCTACCCAGACACACCCAGAAGTGTGTTCCACTAATCCCCCTGGCAGATCTCAAAGCCCATCAAGTTGACACTCCACTCTAACCATTCTGCTCTCTCCTCTTTGCCTCCCCTGACACTGTTCTTTCTATTTTCAACTACTGTCCTTCCTTTGCGGGCTTCTTCTTGTTCCTACCATTGGCCACCCTCAGTCCTCTGTTCCCAGGGCCTTTCTCTCTTCCCCAAAGTCTTTCTTTATTCTCTTCATCCTGTGCTGCCTACCTATCACTCTCACCACATCACTGACTCCAAGGTGCCTGGATGGGCATCACAGGGAGAAAAGGAGCAGCCCCCAATAAGGATAGTTGAGTTGATTTCTAAAAGGTTTTATCCAGCCCTGGCACAATTCATGGTTAAGGCCAAAGGATGACAATACTGTTTAGACCTGGGTTGCTGCCCTCTTCTTCTCACTAGTTGGAGAATCTGGACTTCCTCAGAGTCTTCCCCAAGTGCTGGCTCCTTAATAATCTGATTTTTCAATGCTTCTAAAAACAAACTTCTTGGGCCACACCCAATAGATCTGGTCCACACTGGCCTTTCAGCCTCATATCGTGCCCTGTTTGCTCTCTGATCTACTGATCTCTTACTGCACAGGTTGTTCAGTTTCTCAAGTACACTGTGTTCCTTCCTTCTGAGGAATTTTGATCATGCTATTCCTTCTGCCTGGAAAACACACACACACCACCCCACCCCACACACATCACCCCACCCCACACACATCACCATCTAGTTAACACCTTTTGTTATTTATCTCTTATTGTGTAATAAATTTCCCTTAAACTTAGCAGTTTAAAACAAAAATCTGTTATCTCATATTTCCTTTAGGTCAGGAATCTGGGGTCAGTTTAACCAGATTGTTCTGGTTTAAGGTCTCTCAAGAGGTTACATTCCTGCTGTCAGCCCAGGCTTTACAGGGATTGGAGCTGGAGGATCCCTTTCCAAAAACATTCATGTGGCTGCTGGTAGACCTCAGTGCCTCTCAGGCTATTGGTGGAGACCTCAGTTCTTTCCTTGCCACGTGACCTCTCCATGGCTGCCTGAGTGCCTCAGGATGTGGAAACCAACTTCTCCCAGAATGAAAGATGAAAGAGAAGAGAGGGGAAGGGAGGGGAGGAGAGAAGAGGCGCTTCAGTCTTTTGTAATCTAATCTCAGAAGTGGCTACCATACCTGCTGCCATATGTGAGACCAGCACTGGTACAATGTCAGAGAAGACTACACGTGGCATTCATACCAGCAAGTGGGTGCCTCTGGGGCCATCTTGGAGGGCTAACCTAATTAGAACTTCTTTTCCTTACTATATTTTTTCTATAGTTGGTCTCCATTAGACTGTAGGATTCTTGAGAACCAGTGTCTGTTTTGTGTATGGATTAGTTACCTTTTGCTGTGGAACATAGCAACTGAAAACTCAGTGACTTTAAAAAAAAAGCATACATTTATGATTTCTCATGTATTTGTATCTGTAGGTCAGCTGGAGTTCTCCTGACCTGGAGCAGGCTCAACTGATTTTTCTTGGCTCAGTCATGCATCTGGTATCAGCTATTGGGACCCATCTGGGGCTGATGAGTCTAACATGGCATCTCTCCTGTGTCTGGCAGGTTGCAGACCACTGGCTATCACAATGGAAATAAAAGGGCCATGTGTCTGTCTGCATCAGCCAACTAGTCTGGGCATGTTCACATGCAGCTACTGAGCTTCAAGAGTGAGAATGGAATGGTACAAGGGTGCTTGAGGCCAAGATTTGGGAGAAATATAATGTTGCTTCCATCACATTCTGTTGGCCTGGACAAGTCACAAGGCCAGCCCAGAGTCAAAAAGTGGAGAAATAAACTCGACCTGATGATGACAGGAGTTGCAAGTCACACTGCAAAGAAGGCAATGCAGTCACTTTTGTAAACAGCACATCATAGTATCCTCAGAGCCTCAATAAATGGAGAACTCAATAAACAGTGGACTCGATAAATAGAGAATTTCTCAAATGGATGAATTTGAACATTTCAATTTTAGTTGTTCTCATTTTGTACTTAGTTTGTCTCTGTTACTGCTAAGCAAGCATCTGAAGACAGAAATCCTGTGTTCTTTATGACCCCACAACACTGACACTACTTTGGACTCCACAATGATGAGTGGAGATGGTGAATAAATGTAATGTTGAGTCTTTCAAACCCTCTTTGCACATCTCCACTTCTAGGCCTTCCTCAGTGTTTAAAGGCTCCTATTGCAGATTTGGATAGGTTTTGTAACCTAGTGGACCAGGGCTTCGATTCTGAACCTGCCATTAACTAACTATGGGACCTTTGACAAGTTTCTTCATCTGCTGAGCCTCAATTTCTTCTCCCACAAATTTTGAGTGGCTACTCAGAACCGTTGCAGGGCTGAAGTGCAGTTGCATGTGTGAAGTGCTGAACATAGTGACAGGCACTAAATGCATGCCATCCCTTTCCCTTTACCCTCATCCCCTGAATCATCTTGACCTTGATCTAGCCCCATCCCTGGCTCAGTCAGCCTGCCCCAGGAAAGCCACATCTATTCCACACCTCTCTTGGTCCTTTGAATGCAATTGTTGGCATACACATAGGACACCTGAACTCCAACTAGTATACAACTCCTGTGGCCACAGATGGGCAGGAAAACTGTGGAACACAGTGATTTCTGCCCTGCCTGGCACTGCTTCTCTAATTCTAAGGCCAGAGGAGCTCCTTGTACACCTCAGGTGTTTGGAGATCTGGCTGCCTTCCAGCACTCTGTCCTGACTTCTTGGCCTCCAGCCATTATCAAGGTAGTCACTGCTCAGGTCCATTTTTAAACCCTGTGCACATTTCCCTTTTTTCAGATCAGCTGTCTTATATCTAGGTTCTCCCTTTTCCTTTTTTTCACATCTCCTCCTTCTCTTCCCCACCTTACTACTTTTGGCTTTTCTCCATATGCCAGGCAGCCTGCTAAGCACTTTATTCTAATTGTCTGATTAATTCTTACATCAACCCTATGGCACAGGCACTGTTATTACCAACACTTCCCTGATAAAAAGATCGAGGCTCAGAGTTCACACAACCCACTCAAGTCTGTACCCTCAATGGGTGGTAGAATCAGAATTAAACTCTGATTTGTCCCTTTCCCCCTATTTCCTCCTGTTGTCCACTTGGGCATCATCCTGTGGCAATTTTCTGATAGAACAATCCTTCTCGTCATATGGTTGGTCTAGATGTTATCAGCATTTTTTTTCAAAAACTGCCATATTCCTCCTCAACTCTTGCTTTCCTTTTTCTCTGGGGCAGTGGAGTTCAGTAGAACTTTCTGGAAAGATAGAAATGTTCTCTGTGATCTCCTCATGGTTGCCACTAGACACATGTGGCTTTTGAGTATTTGATAGGTGACTAGAATGGCTGAGCAACTGCATATTAATTTTATTGAAAAGATTTAAGATGTGTCACATACATGCATCAAATAACCACAATGAATGTGAACATTATATGTTGTGAACATTAACTATAAATCATAACATTAACAGTAATAATGAAAATGGGAAAAGGGGATCTAGAGATGGAGGGAGGTAGGTGGATGGGGATGAGAGGGGAAATAAAAAAGAATCAAGATATGCTATGTACATGTACCTACTCCCTGAGATGAATATAAACTTCATATATTGCAAAAATGTACTAATAAGATAAAATTAAACAGAAACAACTACAAAAATAATTTTTAATTAATTTAAATTTACATAATCACAGATGATAGTAGCTATTGTATTGGATAGTAAAACTCTAGGGTCTTTTGTGCAGTTTCTTACTGGAGGGAGGAGGAGTTTTCCTGGAGGTAGAGGCAGGTAAACGGGAAGGAAGGCAACCTGAGGAACCCACAGAACTATCTTCTCATAAATACTGATTCACTTAGAAAGCATCTCATAAGGACAACTCATGTAATGATGTCCAGACTTCTGATCTAAGATTCTTTCCAGAACCTCTGCCTTCCAGTCATCACATTCCTCATGAGGTCAACAAGAATGCCAGCCCCTCAGAATTATGTTGGGTCTTTCCAGAGAAACAGCTTTCCTCAGCAACACACAGATTGAAATGTGTCCATTCCAGCATTGGGAGAGTGAGAAATCACTGGACTAAGATTTTCTTCCTTAGCGTATGCTGAAATCAATATTTAGTCACTATGACCTGTGACCTGCTGTTTACATTTATATAGAAGTTCCCACTTCAAGTTTTCTGGAAATGCAGTTTTAAAAATCCACAGCAAGGGCTGGGGATGTAGCTCAGTGGTATAGCACTTGCCTAGCATGTGGAAAGACCTGAGTTCAATTCCCAGTGTGTGTGACACACAATGAGAAAGAAAAGAAAACACAAGTGGAGAAGAGAGATGAAAAAATCAGACAACTTTTGTAGATTTGATTTCCTTGTAATTTTTTAAATAAATAGGTTTCATGCTGGTAACTCAAAGGAGTTACCAGCTTTGAACTCCTTTGAGTCCCTTCAACCAGGTATTTTTATCCATTTATTTATCATATATTTCAAATAAAAATATAGATATTTATTTATTATATTGATAGTGATAAAATATTTATCAAATATTTTAAAGTTCCTACTGCATGTACATTTAGCTATTGTCACAAGAATTATGAGGCCATAAAGCACTTCAGTCATACTTTTATTACGGCACTCGATCAATAAGCAGCAAGTTATTGCTTTACATATCTATTTCTGTTTCTAGATTGGGGGTCTTTGAGGGTTGGGACACTGGTCCCTAGAACAATGGCCAGCACAGAGCAAGAGCTTAATAGATATTTCTTCCCCAGAGGATACTGGCTGGTACAAAGTAGGTGTTTATTCACTATTCCCTGAAGGATATAAAACCACAGTTTGTCATAATGGGCTAGATCCATGGTCCCCAGAGCCCAGTTGTCCATCTCCAACATGGAAGTCCTTCTGGACACAAGTTTCAAAATCCCTAAGGAATCTGAAGCAACTTGCTCTGAGATCACACTTCATGAATTCATCAAATCCCTCCTTGCCTTAGTTATATTTTAAGCCTCTGCTGTCTGATGGGATAAAAATTTTCCCAAGGTACTAATACTAATCATAAATAGGACCTCCTTTCCCTTTTTGTAAGATTTCTTAAAACTTCACCAAGTTCAAAGATTGTCCATCATCTTCACCTAGCAACCCAATATTTGATTAAGACTTATATGTTAATCTAAAAAGCTAAAAAAGATTCTAATAGTCTCATCCATGCCTTTCAGTTTTATAAACTCTTATCACCTCCATTTTTTGACTTGTACCTCCACAGAACAAAGCATTCTTAAGAAGTCTCTTTTGAATATGAAAGTGACTTACTATGTTTATCACCTCTACATACTACTTTCTGAGTGCTTTTCATAAGTTTCAGTGACAAAAACTATACAAAATGTTCATTCATTTATTAGTTTACTTGAAGCCTCATTCCACAAATATTTATCACACGCCTGGTATGTGCAAGTCCCTGCAATTTTGTACCGTCCTAGATGGAATAAAAGTACAAACCAGCAGTGCCTCCTTGCTATTTCTTTACTGCTCAATTTCTGGAGGAAACAATGTATGACAGGTCATCACCTCTGTGTTTACCTCCTTTTTTTCTTGTTTCTTTTTTTCTTTGAATTGCAGATTATCTCCTAGTATTATTTTTTTCCATAAAGAAAAAATGTCTTCTTTCTCTGGGTAGGTTGTAAGTTCTTTGGAAAGCTGAGAGGAGCAAAGGATCTTTGAGATTTTCACCTCAAGTGGCAGGGCCACTTGAAAGGTGAGGAAACAGGTTCTGGAGGGATTAACTGCTTACCCAAGATCTCTCATTTGGTCAGTGATAGGGCTGGGATTCTCATGAGATGTGCCTGGCTCGAAAGTTGCTGGAGCTGCCACCTCATCAACTTGCCTCTTGAATGCCAGAGCTGGTGGCTCACATTTATTTAAATACCTCAGAGAGTTGGCTCAGAGCTGGCCCACAGCAGACAGTCAAAGCTATTTATAGACTTGACATGATTTAAATAAATGCAGATGGTTTGACTGATGAGGCAATTAACCTGGCAGCACTTATTCCTCACATTCTGGACAGATGGCAGCTCTTAAGGAGAAATGTAAAGGCCTGGGGATTATGAATCATTATCTCTTCCTCTCTCCAACCAACTGAGATAAAAGCTACAGGCTTGGCCTTGACTATACACTTTTTAGATTTCTGTTAGAACAAGCAGCAAACCTTAATGAATTTGAGTAGAGCCAACTTGCAACTATTTACGGTGACAGAGCAAGAATATCATCTGCCAATCCTGCCAAAGTTGCCTTTGGACCAAGAATGTCAGTGTCTCTTCAGTGGGAAGACAACTGTTTCACGTTCAGCAGAGAGGTCTAAAGGCTTCAGGATGCTGAGAGAGCCCTGTCCAGGCTGGCACAAATGTGAAGGGCAGGAAGCAGGACTGAAAAGCCCCACCAAGAGTCAAGAGCTAGATCTCCCCTCTTTCACATCTTTTTATTTTCTCACAGTGCTAGGGACTGAACCCAGGGATCTCACACATGCTAGACAAGTACTCTATACTGACTTACTCTCTCAGCCTTCTCCTGTGTTTTAAAATCAATGGCTATTTAAATGCTCCTTAAATGGTGAAAATGATTATGGGCCAGGGATTTAGCTCAGTGGCTCCAGCACCTGCCTCACAAGCGCAAGGTCCCGTTTGATCCAAGGTACCAAAAAAAAAAAAAGAAAAAGAAAAAAAGAAAAGAAAATGATTACAAAAATGAAACTTTTGTATTTTTGTAATCTTGATTCATATATTTACATATTACCTATTAAAAAGAATTTTTAAAAATCTGCATATTCTCTCATCCACAACTTGAACTAGCATGGAGTTGATTTAATAGCACTGGTCAGCAAAACTGGGAATTAATTCTGACTCTGCTATTAATTATGTTTTAAAAACACAAATTTATCTTGCTCAAAACCCTTAAAAGTTCAATGTTGGCTCAAGGGATCAGAGTGATCTAACTCCTTCCTGCCTTACTATAGGTTTTTCCCCAAACCAGACCGTTATATAAGGGTTTGGGTGCAACTAGATCAAAATTACATATAGATACTATAATCCCAGAGCATGGTAAGGGGTTGGAGACATGAAAGGCATGGGAGAGGAATACCAATAAACAGCACTTTATGAACTGGTGACCATCACAGGACTTGAGTTTAATCTCCCATGGTTCCTCTAAGAGACCATGTAGAACATATCTTAGAAGTGTTTGATGTGCCGGGGATTTGGCTCAGTGGTTTCGCCACCTGCTGCGCAAGCTCAAGGACCCGAGTTCGATCCCTGGTACCCCCCCCACCCCCAAAAAAGAAGTGTTTGAGTAAGGGCAAGGAAGCTAAGGGATTTTTCCATCAGCCCTATTCTTTACAGGTCACAGATCAATCTGAGGGCATGATCTCCTCTACCTTTCTAATCTGCCTCATGCAAGGCCATAGACAGGCAGGGAAGTGTTGGTGCTGGAGCTAGGAAGTTATAGGTGATCTGAGTGGATCACAAAAGTGGCCAGCACCTTTCACAGCTCTTTACATCAACAGGTGGAATCTATTTCTTTCCTTCTTAAATCTGGGCTGGCTTTTTAATTAATGGAATGTAGAGGTTACAAGGCTGCAGGAGCTCTTGGCCAGGACTCAAGAAACCTTACAGTAGCATCTGTTCTTGTGTTCTTGGAACCAAGCTGCCACTGTGTAAATAAGTCTACACTGGGAGAACACATGGAGCAGAAACAACTCATCTACGCTGAGCACCTCTAATTCAGCCAGTCCAACTTGCCAGCTGATCACAGGCACAGGAGAAAGACTAGTCCAGACTAGCAGTATAATCCAGCTAAGCCCTACCTGGCTTGCTTGTGATCACAAGCTAAAGAAATTGTTTTGAATCACTAAATTTTGAGATGTTCTACTGCTAGAGCTGATAGAGCATTTGTGGAAAATGTCCACCAAAACAGCAGGTAAGCTCTGGAGTAGGCCGAGGGATACTAACAGCATCTACCACACTATCAGTATCTATTGCTGCATAACAAATCATCCTAAAATACAGTGGGTTAAAACAACAACCATTTTTATTCATACTCTTTTGGAGTTGTAATTGTGGAAGGGTTTGTCTGGATAATTCTGGCTCAGAGTCTCCTACAAGGTTGCAGTTAAGATGTTGGCTGGGCTGGAGGTGTATCTCAGTGGTAGAGTGGTAGAGTGCCTACTTAGGATGCACAAGGCCCTGGCTTCCATCTTTACCACACACACACACACACACACACACACACAGAGTTGGTTGAGGCTGAAGTCGTCTGGAGACTTGACTGGGCCAGAGGATCTGCTTCCAACCTCACTCATGTGGCTGTTGTTAAGAGTCTCACTTATTCCCTGGCTGTTGGCTGGAGGCCTCAGTTCTTTATCACTGGGCCTCTCTGTGGGACTGCCCACAATACAGCTGCATCCAATTGGTCCACAAGATTAACTGTGGACAAATGTAGGAGAGGGCTACCCAGTTGTGGATAC